TCTGTAACTGTTATTGGAAGAATCAGTTAGAAAAGCAGTCTCTAAAGTTCATGTTACATTTTATGTTTCTGGGCAGATTTCATATTTTGACCTTTGTTTTCACATGAGTGAGGTTATAATGGATATTCTTGTATAAAAACTGCTCACACAGTAGACACGTATACAGTAATGGAGAAAAAACATGTATTAACCAATAGATTCCTGAGACCAATTGTGCCATTGTTGAAACTACTTTTGCAAGAATAGTGCTTATGCAGCTATTTTCGTGCACTTAAACATCTGCAGAAGCCCTCAGACTTATTAAATCACTCACCATGCCAGCTCGGGCTTCAAACGTGTCCTTATGCTTCTGCAGATGTAAATGCACAAAAAAGGGGCATTAACCCTGTATTGAGATGATTATTCCAGAATTATTACTATCTTCTTATGCCGATTTATTGTTTCACAATACTAAGGTAGTCAGTGTTTTAATTAGACTATATACATAGATACTTGCAGAACTATGTTGTAATGCTTCCACCCTTTTGTATTTTAATAGCTGATCATTATTCATATACATGTATATACCTGAGAGTGAAAATTTTACTTTTTTCTCGTGATACTAGTGTGAGTGCATCTCGGTTAAAGTACATGTGCATCTCGGTTAAAGCACATGTGAATTTCTGTTAAAGTACATGTTTTTTCCCGGTTAAGGTACATGTGTATTTCTGTTAAAGTGCAATTGTTTTTGTTTTTTTCGGTTAAAGTACATGTGTATTTCTGTTAAGGTAATGTGTATTTTTGTTCAAGTACATGTATATTTCTGTTGAAGTACATATGTATTTTGGTTAAAGTACATGTGTATTTCTGTTAATGTACATAGTTTTTTTCGGTTTAAGTATATGTGTATTTCGGTTAAAGTACATGTGTTTTTGGGTTAAAGTACATATTATGTTTTTAGTATGATCTATTTTTGTTTTAGATTCTTCAATATTCTGTTTTACTTTGATGGTGGGAATGGTGATCAAGGGGATTAAATCTTGTTTTAATAATTATGTTTCATGAAATATTTGGTGGATTATATATTTTATTTACTAGTTTGTCTTTCCTTTCTTCTTGTCCTTCTCATAGCCATATATAAATTTTGATGGATACCTTTGGTACTTTCTATAGACAGCTTTGCTTAGTTAAGGTTACAGGTTTATTGGGCAAAGGTCAAGGTCATTGATGCTCATCCTTTTCCTTGTAGTACAACTTGCCAGTGTCATGCAACATCCATAGGTATCTGCTGAAATTAGTTATTTATAATTTACATTACTTTTTTCTAACTTTTGTAAATATGCCACAGAAAACTAATGCACCCTTAATCTTGTATTCTTGTATTTATAATCAATGCTGTCATATTTCAGCGAGTGGCCTTTATGTGGTTTAATGTAGCAGACTTCATATCACAAACCCCTTCCCATTTTAGATTTGAATACTGATAGGGACTTTATATTCTTTCAGGAAAAGTACATACAATCTAGCTAATTTTCAGGATGTCTTGAATGCTTTCATACTGAGTTGCCCTTATGCCTGAAATCATGCACTAAGGGACATTTAAGGTAGCTCTCCAACAGTAAAGTTGGAGAGTTGGCATATGTCCTTAATTTAACTTGTTGGTGTGACTTAAAATGTGACCAATGCCCTGTCCTTATTTGTTTGATTCTTTCACTTTTTCAGTGAACCTTACACTTAATCTTTCCAGTAGTAAACAGGTTTATGCTGTGCAGCATGGCTTGAAACTTTTACAAAACGTCAAAACAATTTATTGACTGCTAAGGGTTTGCCTTTAATGGCTGAGGCATAAGAATTACAGTCACGTTTTATCCCTGCGTGATCGTAAGAGACAACTAAATGAGTCAGAATTAGTGGAGACCATGCATCTCTTAGCTCCAGCAGGTAAGGTGGTTTTGACCCCTGGTGTTGCTTAACCAAAGTTGGTCAAAATTATCTTTCCTGTTTTTGTGCCATAGTAGGTTACTGGTTCTACTCTGAGGTGCTCACAACATTGTGCCTGAAATAATGCACAATTATAAGGCTTCTGAGGATTTCCACCACTAGTAAAGCTGGAAAGACACCCTATGACTATTATATGGAAAAAATGCCTATTTTTTATCATAGGAAACTATTGTTTATAAGTTATAAAAAAAATTTAAATTTGTTAATTTATAATTGTCCATTTTTAGCTCGACTTTTCTATGAAAAGGGGAGCTATCCTACTCGCCCCGGCGTCGGCGTTAGCGTTAGCGTTAGCGTTAGCGTTGGCGTCACACCTTGGTTAAGTTTTTCGTACCACCCCACTTTATTTCAGAAGTATTACAAGTATGGCTTTGAAACTTACCATACTTGTTCACCATCATAACCTCCATCTACAGACAAGAGTACATAACTCTGTCAAGGTTTTTGACAGAATTATGGCCCTTTTTTGACTTAGAAAGTGTATTGAGCTTGGTTAAGTTTTTTGTACCACCTCACTTTATTTCAAAACCATTGGAGGTATTGCTTTGAAACTGACCATACTTGTTTACCATCACGACCTTCATCAACAGACAAGAGGACATAACTCTGTCAAGGTTTTTGACAGAATTATGCCCCTTTTTGACTTAGAAAATACATTGAATATGGGTAAAATCCACTTATTGCCTTAACCCTTTGAGATATTGCTTTGAAACTTTTAATGCTATTTCACATCATTACCCCATCTGTACGCAAGAGAAGGTAACTCTGTCAAGGATTTGTTTTAAAAATTAAGGCCTTTTATCGACTTAGAATCTTGGTTAAGTTTTTTTGTACCACCTCACTTTATTTCAAAACCATTGGAGGTATTGCTTTGAAACTGACCATACTTGTTTACCATCACGACCTTCATCAACAGACAAGAGGACATAACTCTGTCAAGGTTTTTGACAGAATTATGCCCCTTTTTGACTTAGAAAATACATTGAATATGGGTAAAAATCCACTTATTGCCTTAACCCTTTGAGATATTGCTTTGAAACTTTTAATGCTATTTCACATCATTACCCCCATCTGTACGCAAGAGAAGGTAACTCTGTCAAGGATTTGTTTTAAAAATTAAGGCCTTTTATCGACTTAGAATCTTGGTTAAGTTTTTAGTACCAGTCCACTTTTTGACTGAACTGTTTGAGATATTAATTTGAAAGTTGGAATACTTGTTTACAATCATGATTCCCAAACATGTCCAGGAGAAGTTAATTCTGTCAAAGATTTTATTTGAATTATGGCCCTTAACTGTCAATGTTTTGTATTATAGGCAAGCACTAAAAAAGTCGAGCGCGCTGTCTTACGGACAGCTCTTGTTATGCCCTCACTCAAAGGGGGTGGGGGGAATCATGTGCTATTTTCTATGTCTGTCCCATTTCAGACACATTTCTGTTTCTTTACTGGGGTGCTAAAGTATAAGGTCCATGAAATTAATTTATACACAACTAATTATGCCCCCATTTCGAAGAAAAGGGGGTATATTGCTTTGCACTTGTCGGTCCGTCGGTCCGTAGACCAAATGGTTTCCGAGTGATAACTAAAGAACCCTTAGGCCAAGGAACTTCAAACTTGGTATGGTGATTGGTCATGACCAGTAGATGACCCCTATTGATTTTGGGGTCAATGGGTCAAAGGTCAAGGTCACATTGACCTTGTAAGCAAAAAACGGTTTCCGATCAATAACTAAAGAACCTTAAGTCCTAGGAACTTCAAACTTGGTATGGTGATTGGTTTTGACCAGCAGATGACCCCTATTGATTTTGGGGTTAAGGGGTCAAAGGTCAAGGTTACATTGACCATGTAGGTAAAAACTGTTTCCGATCAATAACGAAAGAACCCTTAGGCCTAGGGACTTCAAACTTGATAAGGTGATTGGTCATGATCAGTAGATGACCCCTATTGATTTTGGGGTCAAGGGGTCAAAGGTCAAGGTCACATTGACCTCTAAGTTAAAAATGGTTTCTGATCAATAACTAAAGAACCCTTAGGCCTAGGAACTTCAAACTTGGTATGGTGATTGGTCATGACCAGCAGATGACCCCTATTGATATTGGGGTTAAGGGGTCAAAGGGCAAGGTCACATTAACCTTGTAGGTAAAAATGCTTTCCAATCAATAACTTAAGAACCCTTAGGCCTAGGAACTTCAAACTTGGTATGGTGATTGGTCATGACCAGCAGATGACCTATTGATTTTGGGGTCAAAGGTCAAGGTCACATTGACCTTGTAGGTAAAAACATTTTCCGATCAATTAACTAAAAACGCTTAGGCCTAGGAACTTCAAACTTTGTATGATGATTGGTCGTGACCAGCAGATGACCCCTTTTGAGTTTTGGGTCAAGGGGTCAAAGGTCAAGGTCACATTGACCTTGTAAGTAAAAACGGTTTCTGATCAATAACTTAAGAACGCTTAGGCCTAGGAACTTCAAACTTGGTATGGTGATTTGTCATGACCAGCAGATTACCCCTATTGATTTTGGGATCAAGGGGTCAAAGGTCAAGGTCACATTGACATTGTAAGTAAAAACGGTTTCTGCTCAATAACTAAAGAACCCTTTGGCCTAGGAACTTCAAACTTGGCATGGTGATTGGTCATTAGCAGCAGATGACCCCTATTGATTTTGGGGTCAAAGGTCAAGGTCACATTGACCTTGTATGTTAAAAACGGTTTCTGATCAATTAACTAAAAACGCTTAGGCCTAGGAACTTCAAACTTTGTATGATGATTGGTCGTGACCAGCAGATGACCCCTATATAGATTGAGTTTTGGGTCAAGGGGTCAAAGGTTAAGGTCATGACCTGTAGATACTTGATAACCCTTATTAATTGTTTGATCACTGGGTCAGAAGTCATGCATAATAACCTTATCACATGACTAATTGGCTGCTGATAGGGGGCATACATGTTTTACAAACATATCTTGTTTAATTAAACACAGAAATAGAACTTTCAGCCCTAGTTACTAGTAATTTGTTTGTTATTTTTGTCAAGTTTGATTGAACAAGCTATTTTTAATGCTTGAACTCTAGAACTAGTTATTTACAAGTTATTATCTACAGACTCCAGATAGTCGGCCTTCATTTGTGGAACTACGACAAAAGCTGTGTGGTTTGACTGGAACGGGGACTTACCTGATCACATGACCTGTCTAGTATACGACCGTTTCTTACAACCTAATACACTCATAAACCATTGTAATGCAACCAGGCACCAGTTATAGATCATAATTCCAAAAAAAAAAATTAAAGACATAACACGCATAAACCATTGCAATGCAACAACTGGCACCATTTATAGACTATAAATTAAAATTCAAAAATTTAAGTTGTTTTTTGTATCTAATTAGGAAATTGATGTAGAATAATGCACTGTTCACCAGTTCAGGTGCTTTGTAATAAATCACGAAGGTCAGTATCAAAGCTTTTGAATGGAAAACTGTATAACTATGCTATAATTCATGAAAATTAATAGAAGATGCATTTGACTTAAGTAACAACCTATTTATAATTCATTAAAAAATTACATTTTGTTGATATCAGCATTGCACATCGTCCTGTTTTCCTCAACCTTACAATATTATGTTAGAACCGCATGATAATTATCACCTTTCAAAGTGATAATTGTCTTTTAAAGTGATAATTGCTTTAAAAGTGATAATTATTGTGCAGCAGTAAACAAAATATAAGACAAAATATGACATTGTCTCCATACAAAACAGGAAAGAATTCCTCAGTTAATATTAATCTTTTTCCTTTTTAGTAATATGATGTTGCTTTGCACAAAAAGCAGAAAAAACTTTCATACATTTACTTATTACCTATTGCTTACACCCATGAGTAACTGCAAAATTACCATAATTTTATTATTTTTATACCTTCAACAACACTATACATTACCATTTTACATGTTTTTATTTATTGTTTTTACCTTTGTATTATATACATTGCAAATACATGATTGATGAAGCATTTTGTACTAAATGTATATTATTATGACTTAATTTACTTTACTTGTCCCTTTAATTGCTTATTTATCAGTATAATTTATAATTCATTTAACCTCATTTTATTTGTTTATCTTGTCAAATGACAATGTTCATGTAAAGATATTAAGTTGCTCAAAATGAAGTTTTTACATTTAAACACTGTATAATTTTCTGTAAGATAACTCCCTTATAAGAAAGAACATTACACTGACGAGTTTATCTAGAACTGTTACTTCATTGAAAAGGTTGATTGATTGATTGATTGATTGATTGATTGGTTGATTGATTGATTGATTGATTGATTGATAGATTGATTGATTGGTCATTGACTATCTCCTTTTTGTTAACAATTTATCCACTGATTTTATCATATTGTTTGTAGAAGATTAAGATTTTTATATTAGATTAAATTTTCTAGATACTTTGAAACTTAATAATAATGCATCAAAGTATTAATTGAAAATTATGTCCTTGATATTTTAATTCAAACAAAATAAACCTCTGTCTTTACTTGCCAGTTAAATCTAGTTTATGAAAGAACTGTAGTAATACTTGGAGGCTAATAAGAAAGTGAGCGCCTGTAGCCGTTTAAAACATTTGGGCCTAGTCACGACAAAACCAACATAATGGGTTTGCGACCAGCATCGATCCAGACCAGCCTGCGCATCCGCGCAGTCTGATCAGGATCCATGCTGTCCGCTTACATACAGGCTATAGCAAGTAGAGAAACTGATAGCGAACAGCATGGATCCTGATCAGACTGCGCGGTTGCGCAGGCTGGTCTGGATTCATGCTGGTCACAAACGCACTATGTTGGTTTTGTCATGACGCGGCTTATTTAATTTTATACGCATCAAACTAACTTAATCTTTGACCTACTTTTCTTAGGCTGGACCTATTTTTCCTAGGCATGCACACATTTATCCAAATAGATGCAATGATAAAATTAATAGTTAAGTAAACTCTAGTGCAGACAGTTGAAGAGAAATAGACTGTCAGATTTTTTTTCAAATTACATGTATTAGGCCTTTTCATTGGATGAAAAAGTAGGGCTATGAGTAAAACTATTTTTACTTTTTAGATATATATTTACATGATTTTTTTTGCAATGTAACGTTACAGCTGTAATAGCTTATTGTGATAAAACAACACTGTATTTTTTAGTTACACTTTAGTTGCTAGATGTCTCTTACCTTATGTTACAAACCTGTATCAGATACTTGTTAAATTATGTTACTTTTACCTGAAATTGATTTTAAATTGTTCTTTTTCATAGAGTATATTGTTTGTTGGATTTTAGAATTCAATATTGCCATAAAGCTGAAATTATTTGTGTATTTTTATATCATAAATTAGAAAAGGTAAACAAACAAAATTGTGCTATGTGGCATATGTTATAATTCTTTCATTACTACAATGGTGGTGAACAATAATTTGATTATATATACATTTTGTAAAACTTTAAAAAAAATTATGTCGCAATTTAAAAAAATAATTTTTTTTTTATCTTTGCAGGATCCTGATAGACGGCCTTCGTTCCGAGACCTTGGACGTACTTTGAATGGATTAATGGAGGTCGGGAATTACCCACAAGTGTGACAGCATTAAATTGCAAAACCTAGCAATAATCCAATCAGGAGTGGTGTTGTTAGTCACATGACTTCAATTGACCAATAGCAGTAAAACCTCCTTCAGCTAGTAATGTGTCATAATAATAGGAGAGTGTTTTATGAAACTGTGATTATGGTTTTTTTGCTAAATGTGCTAAATATTCATCTTACATTAATTTTGGATGGGAAATGTTCGGAGAGTAATTGTCGAAAGTGCTATCTATTCTAATTGTTACTTCGCAATGTTATACTATATATTTAGTATCGTAACTGAGTGAAATATTTTATAATATCTCACTGACAAAGAATGACAATGTATTGTTTTATGTATAATATTTATGCCACATACATATTTCTGGTACAACAAGACATTGTTAACATTAGTGATAGTATAAACTACATGTATTTGAATGCTGCACCAGCACAAGTTGATTATGTCTTCCTTTTTATTTGTATTTAGATATGATAGACTACCAAGCTGAGATGACATACTATTTAATATATAATAAATGTAATAATATCATCTTTCAGATTTACTGGATATTTGAATTTATTTCTGTTAGATCATGTAGATAGGAATAAGTTGTTTAATAATGTAATAAATGTTTTGAATGAGGAAATCTATTCAAGATGTAAGGCATATCAGAATTGAATTTTCCCTATATTTAATATTCAAATGAAACCAAATCTTTTTTGTTTTATTTCCAAACAAAATTACAGACTGACAACTTTTAATGCACCTGGAGAAATATTCTTCTTGTAAACTGGTCTTCAGAAAACAGGTTATTCATAATAACTGGTTTTCTTGATTTGGTTCCTACATGGTTTTGGCAATCTTTGATTTATTGTGTTATAGGTATTTGTGAGAAAGTCAAAGTATGTTCAGCTTTCCTGTTTAAATTATATTACAATAAATATACATGTATAGAAAGTGATTTACATTAAAATTATTGTTAAGAAAGATCTTTTTTAGCAGCTCCACTTCATTCAGTTTAAGATGTATTTCTCGTTATATCGTAGAAATAAATAAATCATTCCCTATGAAACGAATCAGCATTTTTTTCAACTTTTCTGTATTTTTTAACAATATTTGTTATTTATGTTCATTTTTTTATTGTTCATTTTCTATGTCTGATGATTTTCATGTTTGCATGTCCATGCCAGTGATGTTTGCATTTTATACATACAATTATAGGATTTTAGCCAATTACTCCATTATTACATATAACAATAGAACTATGAGAGAAGGGGAAATTTTAGGCAAATTAGTAGTTTAGGCCAAAAGTGTTAAAGAGAGAAGGGGAAATTTTAGGCAAATTAGTAGTTTAGGCCAAAAGTGTTAAAGATAACTTTAAGTTAATTCAGCTAAACAAAATGTAACTTTCTCTTTATCACATACCTAAAGTAAGCCGAGTTTACTTTCAAAAAAGAATTTTTTTTTCTACAAGGTGCTTATACTGTAACACTTATATTAAGCATAAAAATTATGTTCAAACCATATTCATATAAGGCATATTATGATGTCACATCAAAATATATGCATGGCCTTGCCATATACTTTTTGTAACAGTCTTCAAAAATAGGGGCATGGGTATGTGTTTAATTACCTGTCATAACATTGTCTTTCAAAGAATTATCATGTTGAAAATTGTTCTAACAATTTTATTTTGTATCATGTAAATTAAATGCCAGTTTAGAGCTAGACGTTTTAACAATCAATTTTACCAATCTTTAGGTAAGACTCCAAGATTTAAGATATGCTTAGATATGCAAGTTTTGAAACAATGCAGCAAATAATAAATTGAATGAAAAAGGTCACATATAGTATATAAAGTAATTCTAACAAATATTCTGTTTTTGTTTTGTTGAAATATACACAAGTGGCAGCATGGCCCTAGTGGTTAACACATTGGTTTAGTAATCTAAGGATTGCTGGCTGCTTGGGGCTTGCCTCGCCAGGGCCAAGCCATTGTTTCTATGAGCAAGAAACTTTACACTCATAATAATGTATTAGATGTGTGGAGCAACTGGTAGTTAATGACCAACAACTTACAGCATACATAAGGAAGATTTGAATCTTAAAATGGTACTGTCAATATTTTTTTCTCAGCCATATGGACAGTCTTAGTCTATTAAGCAAAAACATTTGTTCAGTTTTGCAAGGTATTATTTTGTATTTTAGGTATTTTTTTACATTTTTGATACTTAAACCCCTTAACTTTCAGTAGACTGTCCCAAAATAAAAGAAGTTGAAGTCAGACACACAAATGCAAGATGGGAAATAGTGAAGCTTAGTGTGGGAAATGGATAAATCATTGTGGAAAATTTAATATAGGAAGTTGTTAATTTCAATAAACAAAGTCAGCTCAGGAAATAGTGTGGAAATGGTTTAATTCAGTGTTGGAAATGGCTAAATTCAGTGTGGGAAATGGTTCAAATCATTGTGGTAAATGGGTTAAATTCAATGGTTAAAATCAGTTCTGAAAATAGTTAAATTCACCTCAGGAAATGGTCAAAATAAAGAGTAGGAAATGGTTAATTCACTGTGGGAAATTTTAAATTTTTAAATTCAGAGTGAGAAATTTAGATTCAAAGTTACGAGGACATGGTTAAATTTGATCGGGGAAATGGTTGGGATGTAAATGTCATATGTCAATGATATTTATATAAAGATAAGCATTAATATACTAAAGATGAATTTGAACATTTTTTATCCACAAAACTAATGCTTTTGATTCCATTTGTACTTACTGAATGTTTTACAGATTATTAATATTCCAAAACAAAATATTAAGCATGAAACAGTTTGTGTGTAATCCCCTTATTTTGTATAAATTTTGTTTTAAAAAATATCTGATTAAAAAATAATGAAAAAAACTTACAAGTTGTTCTTAAGTTAATAAAAAAAGAAAAGAACTTTGTATTTTTATTGTTTTGTTACTTTTTTTGATATAAATATTTAGATTTATTTTGTTAATGTTAAATTATATATCTGTTTTAGAAACTTTTTTTATATAATTATATATATATATGTATACATGCAGTGTACATGTATGTTATATTTCTATGATTCTTCATTTGAGCCGCGTCATGACAAAACCAACATAATGGGTTTGCGACCAGCATGGATCCAGACCAGCCTGCGCATCCGCGCAGTCTGATCAGGATCCATGCTGTTCGCTATCAGTTTCTCTACTTGTAATAGGGTTTGTAAGCGAACAGCATGGATCCTGATCAGACTGCGCGGATGCGCAGACTGGTCTGGATCCATGCTGGTCACAAACCCATTATGTCAGTTTTGTCATGACACAGCTCATTTATTTGTTTAAAAATAGAATGCATTAATGAATTATGACCATTATGTTTATATTTGTTTTCATATGTATCAAGTATGCACAGTGTGTACATATATTCAAATAATTGTTGTTTTTCTAAACGAAGTATGATATTTTCAACATAGTCTGGATAATATAAAGCTGCAAGCCTCCAGATTCACATATATTATTTCCCGATCTTAAATCATTTTACTTTTCTTAAAAATCTTAGAACATTTTTCATTAAGTTAAATTTTCTTGAAATATTTTTGGCTCATCTGGAGGCATGCAGCTTTAAATGAAGTAAGATAATAATAATAAGAAATTTGTATATTAACAAGCCATGTTTGAACACAAATAATATACAGAATAAGCAAACCCAATCTAATGGGCTTATAAGTCACTGTAATGGGCTTATAAGTCACTGTAAAGTATATTGCAAACAATAATCATGTCACATTTTGTTAAGAAAAGGAAAATTTAGAAGATCTTTTTGGATACTTTCTATCAGAGTTTAAACTTACAAATAATTAAGAAAACAGGTAGGCTCTTTGGATTTTTTTTGTGTGTGTACAGGGGGGGGGGGGGGGGGGGGGGGGGGGGGCAGTGGAGAGTCTAGAAAGACTGCAAAGACAGTGTGCCCAAGTCAAGTACATGAAGTACCAGTATATTTTACACTTGTCAGATTCATAAAAAATATGTAACAGATCAAAATAAATTACGAAATGTAACATGAATTCACACAAATAGCATATTTATATACATGTATATGGCAATCGCCCAAAAAGGGCAATCTTAAATTATTGTGTTATGTTTGAATAAGAATTAAATCTTTTTTGTAATAACACTGTCTGAAATGAAAATGTAAAAAAATACATAAAAAGACTGTGAATTTTGAAGGAAATGATTATATCATTGTTTGATACATGTATCATATTTTCTTTTTATACTTGGGTATTCTTAGATATGCCCATTAGTATTAGTTAATTAATATATATCTACACATGTACACATCATATTCTCTTGCATGTTCCTAACAATGTTCTGTGTAATATTAATATATTCAAATTATTCGATAAACAATCTAAATGTAAAACTTGCTTTATTCGATAAACAATCTTAATGTAAAACTTGCTACAAACATTTTGCTGTGTTTATAATTAAATGAATATAATGTAATGTAAATGCATCACCTCATTATTTACATAAAGACGTCATTTCAGATGTTTAATCATTATCTTAATGTCTTAAGACTGCCATATTTCTATGCTCCCTGCATCAATATATACTGGTTTTTGTCCAGTGTGTCTGCCTGTCCGTCTGTCTGGCTGTCTATCTATCTGTCTAATCTAATCTAATCCATAAAGCTGCTGAATGTGTATAATAGTCTTGTCCAGTCTGTCTGTACTTATGTAAGTAAATTTCACATTTTCTATGATATCTACATTTCACACTTTATGTGCATTGGTGAAAGTTTTCAGGATTATTCATAAAGTTCAGGATTTTCAGTCTCCTAAAAGCCTTCTATTCCGATGTAAAACTATAAAAACTGCTAAATTCAGGATTTTCAGAATTTTTAAAATTTACAAATTTCACCCATGTATTATGTGACCTCAACCCATATTGAATTTGACCTTCTTTATGAAATTTTTGAAATTTGTTTTTTTATCAACACATTTTGAACAAGGGGATTTGGGTTTTTACAAACATGTCTTGTTTCATTCATATATGCCTAAAGGTAACTGGTATGGTGTTTTTTTTTCCAGAAAACATCCTTAATTGTGTCTATAATCTTAGTTGAAAAAAGAAGGAAACCATTTTGGAATCTGTGTACGCTCATCGATCTTATAGTTTAAGGTCACAGTGCCTTTGCACTAATGAAACATATTGTCCTTTCCATAAATTGATACCGATTAGATTTTGGTAGGGAGGTTGGTCATAGCAGGTAGATGACAAATACAGATTTTGAGGTCATTCTGTCAAAGGTCAAGGTCAGAGTGACCTTCAGCTCGAATATACAGTGTATCTAAAGAACCATTTTGTCTACAGTCATCATACTTTCTTGGCCAGTAGATGACCCCTCTATTGATGTTGAGCATTTCAGCAACTTCTTCATACTGTTTAGTCAGAATGGTTCTTGATTCAAAGGAATAATCTTTTTGGTGATGTTTCAAAAAATAGCTCAAATTTTACCTCCTTGAGGGGAGAGCATAATATTATATACTAGTAGTTAATTCCATCTGCAGTTGAACAAATAGTTAAGCACAATTTTATGAAAAAAACATCACTTGAACAAATAGTTAAACACAATTTTATGAACAAAAACATCACTTGGAAAAATAGTTTAACACAATTTTATGAACAAAAATATCACTTGGACAAATTTGGTGTTTAATTATGCCACTGTTATTTATGCTGATATTTTGATTGAATTCCTTATAAACCCAGGGCTTTTTTATTCAAATTGTGTTGTCTTAGACTATCGTTTCATGCATTACATGACGTTTTGAGGTGAAGAAATAATTGACCTAATAATTTTACCTCTTTCAGTCTTCCATACCTTGTTTTTTTTGCAAAACTCCTTTTGCTTTTGATTGTTAATCAGCTGTGTATATTAGATGTACGAACATGGACCACAATTTTGATAAGATTTTTTATAGTTAATGTATATTAGGAAACTTTCCTATGTATGTATTTATCATTGTGCTGTTATTTCATGTAGAATCTTTTCACACAGTGATTAATTTTCACACAGTGATTACAATAAAACAAAATAAACTATTTTTATAGAACTGTATACTTTTGTTCTTTAATGTCAAAACAACCGATACTCATCCACTGTTGTCAAATAAATGAATACACATGTACATTTACATGTATGTCCCCCCACCCCCTCCCTAAACGTTAGTCGGTTAGTCGCTATGAGATTTCAAAAGTGGTTTTTTGTAGTTTACCCGTTTAACCTCGGGATTATGCCTATTCACCAGATCACAGTTCAGCCACCACATAGTTCTTTGGCAGGCTGGCAAGCAATTTACTAGTACTAGTGCCTTCACTCTCCAGCTCTCGCAAAGAAGTGATATTATTTCTGTACATGCCAGAGCAAGAGGTACAATGGGAATGACAGTAGAAAGGGTTTCATGATCAATCACACCGAAAGTGACCTTCAGATTTCAAAGCGATTAGGCCTCCTATTTATATATTAACTATCCCTGGCCTGGTCGATGTTTCTACACTGCTAGTGTCTGAAATATTGCACGGAGCGGTAAACAAGAGGCCTTCATCCACCACTAAATGTTGCCGTTTGACCCTTGAAATGCTGGTAAGACTTCTGTATGTATCACTTTTACCACATTTTAAGGGGAGTGGTGATCTAGTGGTAAAGGTGTCTGCCTTTAAACCCTGGGGTCAAGGGTTCAAACCCTGTTGTGGTCACGACCATGTTTCCTGAACATGCACCAGTATTGGTAAGTTCCAGGAAGCGTACTCGAAATTGATTAATATAAGTTTGCCAGAACTTGTTTCGCAATCGAGCTTTAATAAATATCTTTAATCAAACTATAAAACATATGCTGCTATGCTGAACATTTTGTTGCGGATAAAAGGTGTTTTTTTAGACGATTTGGCCAATTAAAAATTACTGACGGAGGAATATGTTTTGTGTTGGTACCTGAATAGAATCATAAACCTTCAGCTAGATATGAGGACAGTTTCCTCACAATGAAAGAATTCAACATTTATGACAGAATTCGAAGTGTTAATTTATATCAAGTTCTTCAAACTAAAAATTGAAGTTTTATTTCTTGCATCTTGTATCAAATTATTGGCATAAGTTTCTTTAAGTTTTGTTCTGAATATAGGAATAAATCGCTAAAATGACAGACTCCGGAAACTTTATCAGAAGTCTCCTTTGAAGCAATTATTAGAGGCCAATTTCATAAAAAATTTTAACTCGACTATACGAAGTATATGGAGAGCTGTCCTACCTGGCCCGGGCGTCGGCGTCCAGATTTCAGGTTAAAGTTTTGGTGCAGTAAAATATTTTTCACTATAACTTTTCATTTCTTTAGCTATCAACTTCAAACTTCAAATATATGTTCCTTATCATCAACCACATCTTATGTGACAAGGTTCATAACTCTGGCACCAATATTTTCAGATGTATCTCCCCTTGAACTTATTATTAAATTATTATTTTTTACTGTTACTTCTTTATCTTTTAAGGGATCAACTTCATACATGTACTTCAAAAATATGTTCCTTATCATTAACTACATCTTATGTGACAAGGTTCTTATCTGTAGCACCATTATTGCAAGAATTATCTCCCCATTAACTTGATAAAAAAATGTTTATTTTTACTATAACTTCTTTAGCTTTAAAGGTGTCTACACATATTCCATATCATCAACGACATCTTATGTGACAAGGTTCATAACTTTTCAGATTTATCTCCCTTTGAACTAAGAATTTTCTTTAAAAAATATTATAACTTCTTAACCTTTTAAGGTATCTACTTCAAATTTCTTATCATTACACACACGTGTTGTGTGCAAGGTCCATAACTCTAGTGTGACTGTTTCCAGAATTATTCCCCTTGAACTTAGAATTTATGTTAACAACTATAACTTCTTGTCATAAGAAGAAATATATTTATATCATAATTGATTTTCTTTCATAGTTTTGTCTTCCTTACCGCGTCCAGTATTTAATTAGTCGAGCTTCGCTGTCTCCTGTGACAGCTCTTGTTATCTCTGTTGACATTATATGTAAGGAAAATACTTACACTTTCCAACAAACAATTATTACACGTACTAGCTCGGTAGTTGTAATTTTAAAAAGTCAATATTTTTTCTTCTGTTTTTCATTTTTCTAATTATAAAAAATAGTGTAGAAATAGCTAAAAAGGCAACGAAGTACTACACGAGTAATATATAGATGTTCCCATGTGAACAATGTAATATTTACAAAACAAAGTTTTGTAATTATCTAAATTAAATTAAATGATATATATCATTTATAAGTAGAGTAATTTGATCAACAACCAACACATTAGCACGTGAGGTCACTCTTCCAGCGACGGGAACAGGCAGTTTTATCAGAAATAAAACCAACAAATGATTCGAGGCAGAACAGCGGAACTGTTAATAGTCTTCATTGCGCAATTACTTACTTATTTTACCTGATTAAAATATTTCAGTTATAGTAAGAACTTTGAGAGCAAATGACTTGAACGATTTGTATCTCGAGCTATCACAAAAGAAAATAACGTCTTTATTCCTAATATTGCAACGTGAGCGATCCAATGGAATTTCTTTATTTTCTTGTGTACTCATTGTTATATGTCTCTTGTTTGATTGTCCCTACATCAGCTTGTCCGGGAGAAGATGACAAATATAAAAAGCTACTAATAGACAAAAAATTGCCATCTGTACTGGCTATATTTACGGAGATTTCGCCGATGTTTTGTTCATACGAATGCAGTAAAAATAATGACTGCAAAGGTTTTGCGTACAACCCGTCAAGTAAAGTGTGCAAGCATTCTGAGCATTCTCCATTTCTCGTGCAGGAACTAGTGGATGACGATGCAGGATTCGAGCTTTTCAACGATGAAGGTAACTGTTTTATGAGCATAGTTTTATCTAAATCCAGTTTCCCATGAAATATGGTGCTATATAAGTCAATTTATAAATTTGTTAAAAATAAATAAATAAATAAGAAAGAAAACAACGGAAAAAAAAATAATGAAAGTGGGCGGAATCAAAATTCATTTGTTTTTGGGACTACTTTCTCAAATGATTTTCTGTGGCAGTCAGTAGCTTTAGCTATTCATTTCATTTTTAGAATTTATCTAGTTATACTATATTCTTAAGGCTGTGGTAAATTGTGTACTGAACTGTATTATACAACTTGAAATTGTCGATGTTTTAATATGCGCTGTACAATTGCACCTGCGTAGTAAATGGAAATTTTTGTACACATTTTTATTGTTGTTTTTTTCTTGAAGGTAAAATTAAATAAAAAGGTTACTTTTTCGTTTTTTTGTGACATATTGTACATATTTTCACATGATAGAATTCAATATTTTTCACTTGCCGTTCCGCCAAGTGAAAATATAATGAAATGTTATATCATGTTTCTATTCCATATTTAACTGAAATGAACCAATATCCTCTTTATATTGGTTTAAACATATTTATTTTAGCTCGATTGCGAAACAAGTTCTTGCAACTTATATTAATCACTTTCGAGTCCGCTTCCTGGAACCAACCAGTACTGGTGTCATATGAAGAAACATGGTCGCGACCCGAGAAGGGCTCGAACCCACGATCTCTGGGTTGAGAAGCAGACACCTAGGAATTATGCATACGTTCATTATAAATTAGGACATACTGTTTTCATATTGTAATATTCTCGTACATGTACTATATTATGTGGATTTCAGACCTTCGGTGCAGACTTGATTTCACCGCACACATGGCGGGCCCTGCACCTCGCACATTCACCTCTCCCAGTTACCCTAGTAACTACCCGAAGTAAGTATAAATCAAATTTATTTTATATTTTTAATTGTTATAATTGTATCAAACATTTAAAAAGCAGATATTGTTTAAGACGATAGACGGTAAGTGATCAGCGTTTGCTACCAGTATAAGAATTTGTTCTGCCTTCTTTTCGATCTGTGCAACATGGCCAGGCCCTAAATTGTTGGAAGTTTTTTTTTGTATTTCCATATACAAGCCCCTTTCAAAATTTCAAAGTAGTACAAATTTATTTTAAAATTTTAGAAGATAAGGGCTCATTTTTCCTCAGATGCTTTGATTTTTGTTTCTTAAAAGTTATATATTTTTTGTTCCCTGTTATAGTTTCAAAAAAGTCGTCACAGGCCAATCACATGATCATCTTTTGCTTAAGTTGCTTTTTGACAATTAGTACACTTTATATAGTGATTTAGTATTTTGTATGGAGGTAAAATTAAAATACTACATTGTTTACATTTTGGGACTTTTTTTATAAATGATTTCCCATTAAGCGCTACTTTCTTCAGGTGATAAACATCTAAACATGCTCTAAATATAACCATTATTTGAACATTAAAAGAAATTTGCGTTTGTCTTTTCTAAAGATTGAAAGAATAATAGTTTCTGAGGCATAATTAATGTACCTTTCAATGCAAAAAGATATTCTACTCATACTTGAAGAAATTATTTAACCGATGCGCTGATTTCAGTAGCGGAATATAGTATTAACGGTTTCTTCTGTTTCACTTGAGACATATGCCTCATAAATGAGTGTTTAAAACATAAACTTTAAAGTTGTATTAAATTGTTGTTTTTAATGACTTGTTTTCGTTCAGCAACATCAACCAGTTTTGGCTGATTGTGAAACCATCGAAAACTTCAACACTGAGGGTGCGGTTTGACTCGTTCAATACACAGTTTACTGTTGGCTGTATTAAAGACATTCTTATGTTTTACAAAGGTAAACAATTTATTGATCTTATAATAATTAAACAATTTATTGATCTTATAAAACTTATGTTTGAGACTCATTCTTTTTCCTAGTATACAACGCAAGGATATAGTTGTAATGCCCTGAATCACCAAGTTTCCGTTCTTTTTGGTCCGTACTGTGCGTGCCCTTGCGCGTTGCCTGTTGTGGTCTTTATAGAACCCACTTTGCTGGTTTGATTCAGAACCACCTGTCACAGAACAAAACTATGCCTTCATGGCGGTCGACTTTATTAATAAATGAGATGTACACTAAATTCATTTAAAAAAGCAATTACCTTTTCAAAACGCGGTTTAGCTGATAGTGCACATCCATCTTTAACTATAATCTTATTTATGAACTAGATTTAAATGTATTAAATCATTAGCATCAAAGCGACTTGTACAGAAAATTACAACGACATATTAAATGAAGCTAATTGATAGGTATTTCTTCCCTCAGCTTCCCTTCGATAGATATACGGCTTCCTTTAACAAGTCCCTGAAAGAATAATACATGTACAATTGTTTTTATAAAGTACAAAGACAACAACTAATAAAGTATCACTTTTTACATGGTACTAAAATAATAGTAAAGATGTGAGTATTATCATATTTATCTATATGTATATTTGATTTAGGTTATTGCACGGATGATCCTTACTTACTAACAATGTGCGGCTATGCTCCAGCGAATCAACTTCCGGTACTTACAGAAGCCACCAGTCTGTACGTCCTTGTTCAATTCGTCACCGATTCCTCCAATGATGTCAGCTACAGCGGGTTTTCCCTGGAATACAAGATCGTATCATAAAAGTTTAAATATGAATTAAACATTTGTACAGCAATTTGGACGTTTTTACAGCGATTTGTACGTTTACACAGCGATTTGAAAGTTTATACAGCGATTTATAGGCAGTTATTCAGCGAATTAGACGTTTACGATTTGTAAAAATTTTAATTGTACTTTAAATATCATTAAAATTATAATATTATTATTTCATTCGGAGTATTGCAAACAACATTGCATAGTACAGAAGGAATCCGGGAAGTTGTAACTTGTTCACCAGAAAATTGTTTACATACCTTGATCTTTATTCCAAGAAACAATGTTGTTGTTTTTCCTCTTAGAGTATAGGATTGTTAATCGAACAATATTTCAATATTTTGGGAAAATATAATCCAAATAATCAAGAACATGATAAACTCGTTCAGAGAGTCATACTCTTCCATGTGTTATAGAATCATACACTGATAAAGTCATTTATTAAGGTTGTTTATATGCCTTATGCATATAAACGTGCATTAGCAAATTTTAGATGCAGTGGCCATGACTTGAAAATTGAAAAAGGAAGGCACTTAAATATTGACAGAGAATTAAGATTGTGTTCATCTTGTCTTAAACGTAATGTGCATGTTGTGGAAAATGAAGTGCATTTTTTGATTGACTGTCAGCTTTACAACGACCTTAGACACAAACACTTCAACTTTTGTAATTAGAATGTGATTGTAAAAAGTAATGAACGCTTAAATACTATAATGTTAGAAACAACAAAAGACAATATTAAAAAATTGGCAAAATTTATCTATGAAGCAAATAATTTAAGAAAACTTCAAATAACTGAACAAATTTAAACATGTATATTATAATGTTTTTAATTTATTTTTATGCGCCATGAATTTCAGTTACTCCATTTGTTGAAACGATCGTTTCTCAATGTAACCATACCTTTATGTTTAAATAATATATTTAAAGTAATAGTTACCTCTTCAACACTGATATTAATCATATTGGCATTTGTACATTATATGTTTAATTAATATTACCTTTATTTCAACTTAATATTCAATATTACGATTATAATATATGTCTATTTTATATATTTATATCTCACTCTTTCTTTAATTGAAAATCTGATTGTATTTTGGGCGGAAGGCCTTATATTAGAATAAACACATTGGCATTGTTTAATCCGTTTTATGTTAGTCTTAGATAAAATTATACTGAAAGTTTTTTTATTAGGAAAAAATATGTAAGATATTCATGAAATTTTACATGAACTGCAATCAATATACCGAATAATACGGGCTTTTTTTTAAAACAAATATATATTATGTAACTACGCTTAGGGAAGCAATAAGTTGTCAACACAAGCTTAGGGCATCCATGGGATTTAGGAACTAATAATTATAATATGCATCTGTACATTACAATCATAACTTATGAAAAATACATTTCTAAATGTAACATAATGTATCATTTTTATCCGAAAACTCGTTATTTTTTTAGTTATATAATAGCAGTTTTTCCAGATTAATTATGTCTTGAATGTGCATGTATATGTAATTTAGCCTTTTACGCAGCGTATGCATGGTATTTGGAAAGAATTTGACTTTAGATTTGATATCATTAAACCAAAATACATGTATTTCAATTTCTTCTTTGTTAAATGTAGTTAAAGACATTACCATATCAATGTACATATACAGTTGGAAATATACATGTTTGTCTATTTTCTGTGCCCAGTTTGTATTTTGATTAATATAGTGGTGCAAGGCAATCAGAGCATCTCGGCTAAAATTCATTTCCACAGTTTGACGGAAAGGGTCGAGAAATAAGTTGCCATTGGGTGAGCGGTTAGACTATTCCAGATTCGTAAAATACAGTAGTTCAAATATAATCACTATGGTTACATAAAATCATATGTAGCTATGGTAACAGTTGTCAAGGACATTGATGAACGACGCCATTTGAAGTACATGTCTTAAACTTTATGGCATAGGTACAGAACTATTAGAAGCTATATTTTAAAGTCTGCATATCTTTGAATCGCAATGTCAGTGTAAAAAGATAAATGAGCCGCGTCATGACAAAACCAACATAATGTGTTTGCGACCAGCATGGATCCAGACCAGCCTGCGCATTCGCGCAGTCTGATCAGGATCCATGCAGTTTGCTTACAAACCCTATAACAAGTACAGAAACTGATAGCGAACAGCATGGATCCTGATCAGACTGTGCGGAGGCGCAGGCTGGTCTGGATCCATGCTGGTCGCAAACGCATTACGTTGGTTTTGTCATGGCGCGGCTCAAATTGTTATGCTATCTAAAAACATTGGGACGGATGATTATTGTGTATGTGAAATGACAAAGTGTGCACCACATCAACTCATTAAAGGTAATGTCACTTTACTAGTGGATAATATAAAGACCTTAGGAGAATGTTCTTGCGTTGATTCTAACACAATCGGCCATCTGTAGCACTGATCTTTTGCAATGTTAGCTTGACAGCAGAATAAAGAAGTTTGTTTCGACAGCTATAAAGTGCGAGTACTAGTGATTTAAAGTGCGACCATACTCTTTATTGCTATGTCCCAGTAATTCTCTCGTGCAAATTAGTTTTTTAAAAAAAATTGAAATAGAAGCAAACTTTATGATCATCGTCAGCTATCTATGCAACAGCAATAATTCAATGACGCTAGCAAATTAATTTAAGCATATCAAATGACTT